CTATACAACCATCTGATCTACCTTATAATAATTGTTTGCTGTCTGTAAATATGTAAATAAGTCAATAATAAAAGATTCTCTTTTTCTCTCTTTTGCATTAGTCACATGGTTCCTAATAGGTTTCATACCTTATTATATTACATAGCTGCCTTAAATGGTGAATTTCTCTTGAGATTAACCAGTATTCACAGTCAATCCTGATTTGAAACGTTGTTTCATTATTTGTAAAGTATAAAGAATATATAACCCTCTGCAGTGTAAACCTAACTTAAGCCTTATACTTAATTGCCTTAATTAATAAATATGAATCCCAGTGGAAGCATTATACAGCAGGGTGCTATATTTTAATGTCCAGGCAAATTTACTTGTATGTGTCTAGGTATATAGAGGATAATTAACTAATTACTTTTTACAACTTAATTCTTTTTGACTGTTAGTATAATTTTTTGGGGTCACCAAGTTACAAGAGCTGTATTATATGCCTTTAATGTTTTTATGCATCTGGAGGCAATATCAATATTTGGCATAATGACTGACTGTGTGATCTGTCAGCCAGTTTCATGCCAGAGGTGCTGTTAGAGGGAGGGGGGCTTAACTATATAGCCCCTTCCCTGTGCTACATTTTGATACTCTTCATTGATATCATATATTGGCTAGTTAGGTTTATGTTAGTTTTGTTATCAGGAGGAGGGATGCTTGATTTTGCACCCTCCTCCTGTATTGATTGACTGATAGATCTTCCAATGGTTATCCCCATGTGAGCAGCAGGGTTTGGATAGGTGTGTTCTGATTATGCATACGTTTCTCCCCACCTCTCAGTGATTGACTTTGTTATTCTCCAATGAGACTCCAGCATAAGCGATGACGTGGTTGAGGAGGAGTGGTGACTTCATGTCAATCACCCACTCCTCTCACAAGCCGGATCAGCTGGAGGGACTTTTCTCTGATTGCTCAGGTATTTAACCGGCTTCAATAGGAACTGCATTTGCAATAGCTCCTGACGACGGCGTGTATGCACGCTGAAACGTGCGTTGAGCGCCTTATTTAATTTATCTTTTTTCTCTCCCATTAGTTAGCACTGTAGTTAGTATGTTTGATTTAGTTAGCATAGTTAGCAATTTATTATTTGGCATTTAGAGTTTTTTCTAGGCAGGCATTTTTTGGTTCTGGGGGGTCTCCTCTGGACTTAGGGCTTGTCCTTAGTGGGTCTGCCCTTGTCCCTCTTTCGCTCTCTTTTCTCCAATTCATGTTTGTATAGGTTCCTGTTTGCCTGCCTTTATATTAGTGGGGTGATTTATGTATTGTGTGTTGCCTTATTGTATTTTTGCAGCTTAGGTGTCCTAATTTTGGACATTTTTTCTAGTATAAATGCCAGGGATGGATTACAGGAATGAACCCAGAAATCCCAGCAATAAAGAAAACAAAAAAAACAAGAAAAACTAAACAAGAATTGTAAAAAGAGTACTGGATACCAGAAGCCATCACCAGACTAATCCGCAGAACAAGGCATAATGTGACATTATCCTCTTGGAATGGCAGGTCCTTATTCGTTACCCCCATCGGACGATTCCCCTGTAATCTGGAGTGACACAGCAGAAGCCATAGGTTATGCTGCTATTTTTGGCAACAACTGGGTAAATGATACTTGGCCACCAGAAACCTCCACCTTAGAGAATTTTAACAAGACCTCAGCATTGTTTGAAATCTTCCTCAATCCCTTACAATAATGAATCTAGTAAGGAAACATACCTGGTTAGAAGCAAATCTACAGTTCTGTGTATCTGGTATCCATGTACCAGGCGTTTTGAACAATGCAGCTGATGCTCTGCCATGTTCTTATTTACAGGAATTTTTCAGAATACATCCTACAGCAAACATTCAGCCCAAAGAACCTACACAGTTCAAAGACCTAATTATGCTTTAAATACACTGTTAAAACACAGTAGATCACTTGCACAAGCTGGTTTGTCAATTAATACTAGAAACTATGGTTGCATTCACAACTTTTTGCCACATCTCTTTGAGACTAGCATACAATACCATGAAACTATACTTGACAGGCATACATTACATAAAACAGCACAGGTTAGGCACTCACTAAGATAACAAAATAGAAGTAAACCAGCAAGTATTCCCAACCCCTGCTAGTGATAACCAAAAAGTGAAAGAAACAAAAATGGTAAACCGCGCCAGAAAGTATACAGTTCTCTAAGTGCGTACAATAAAAATAACTCTATATACATACACTAGAGGAAGTACAATATTATGGCAGTGTATATGACCCTCGAAGACATAAAAACAGGATAAAATAATAGTGCAATAGGTCATATAAATATTAATGCATGTGTATATAAAAACTCAATAAAAGACTAACTCACACTTTCCAGAGCTGCTAAGAGCTCTGCCGTATAGCGCATGGACGGTATAATCAACGTCTTAGGATATATGGATAATAGCTGTAGTTGGTGTCCAATTCTAAGCAGCCGTATATAGGTAGGAAACAGAATAAAATCCAATGGCACAGTATATAGTGAATGACATACAATAGAATAAAAGTAGGTATCCTACTTACGATTTCCAGAGCAATGACTTGCTCTGGTGTTATGGACTTGTGGTGGTATAATCCCCACCAAAGGATATACAGAATATGCAGGAATCCAATAGAACAGCAGCAACAAAAAATTTAAAAGGATATGGAAAGTAACAATAACATTTTAGTGCTTCCAGTCCCCACTTAACGCGTTTCTGAAGAAGCCCAAACCCTGGCAAAATCTCTCCTCTGTGTGTCTAATAATACGTACACATTTTATACCTTAGATTTTCAATTCAATCAGGTTAGGACCTACCTTAACTTGGCAAAGATACAATGCCATAATGTGGTCATTTCACATGGGAACATTTTATCTATGTTTAGACTAACATTTAAGGGGAATTCCACTAACCTAGGATAAGGTGGCATCCTAAAGTCACTTATTAAAGAAACATTGTATGAAAACCAATATGTTCAATTTCTAACAACTTGTAATTTCCAGAATTCCTTAAAGACAGACAAAGTACACAGTTTAAGAAATGCTTTCCAATCTAAAAACTTGTAATATTTACATATGCCCATAACAAGGGTACAAAATACTTGAGAACATGACACATTAATGAAAATTATGAATTATAAAATGCAAATGTATTTATGGTTACAAACTAAGTTACTGTAACAAATGAGTAGGGACATTGTGTAGCTGGCCAATTCTTTAATGGCTTCTAAAGAAAAAAAATAGAAAAAAGTGGTTTAAGTAAATATAGACTCACACAAGAACTCTGTTGATGGCAAAAACAGTATTTGCCAGTTCTGAGCAATGGCCGAATGAGTCCATGAGGATGGCAGGAGGAAGGCTCAATACGTGATAAACATCTACTTGAAGGACTATGCAGAAGGTGGATAGCGCAATTTTTCTCAGCTATCAATTCTTTTGCTAGCAGTTTCACTAGCAACGTGTATAGATGAAAATTGATGAGCAGTTGGAAACTGAAATGTGCATGACAGTTTTCCTTTAATATTACAAATCTATTCAAAATGAGGACCCCAGTTTTGGTCGGATCTGAACATACAGGAGATTTGCATTTAGATCTACATCTAGATCTCCAGATCCACACCCTTTGTCATGTAGAAACCGTGTAAATGTTTAAGATAAAAAATGGTTTGCCTAAGCAGACAATTCAAGGTAGACCATTAAAAAGATTATTTTCATGCAAATGAGATCTTGTATAGGCATCTTAAAGTGTATTGTGTACGCATTTAATAACCTTGACACAAGGGAAGAATTTAATACTGAAACTTTTTAAATGCAGTTAAACTAGAAGGACAATAACTACATTACAGGTTTGAACTACATTATATGCAAATATTTATTAAAGTCAGGTAAATTGGCAACAATTGAAGGAATTCCTTTGTATCCTAAATTTGCATATTTCCTGAAACTTTTTGTTCCCATGATTTAAGAAATTTGGTTGTGCTTTCAGTTTTTAAAAAGTTTTAAATGTTTAAATGGACACTGTAGCATTAGAAATACATATCTGTACACCTAAATTAAACTACTAGTTGTAGTTTAATTAATCATGCTGATGAGAAAACCATTTTTAAATAACGTATGTTATTCTGAATGATTGCTGTGGGTTCAGTTAGACCAACTTTAGAAATAATGACAGGGCGATGATAAAGCTACTTTAACGAGAATAACTATTCTAACACAATTGACTAATTTGCCCATTTAAATTATTGCTATATACAATATAACAGAATGCCAATTTTTAATACATGCTTTGCTACTCATTGTTTTAGACAAAACATTTCTGTATTAATTGTACACAAACTATACCTGAATGATATTTGCTTTTGAGCAACTTTTAAGATTCTACATATTTTTGTTTCTAACATCTGTAAGTTTGTTTTTCCTCAAATCATCTTCTACAATACAAAAATGCGTAGAAAGTGGAGCGCTGAATAAATATATCAGGATAAGAAAAGGGTATATAAAATAGGAGATCTAACAACCTATTGAAACATATAACAGACAATAAAAAAATATAGGTTATACCCTTAACCTCTAACTGCAGTCTCCAATGCTGCAGTAATATAAATGAACCTATCTCTCCTAGATTAGCAGATATTGAATGCAACAGACTAAATAATAAAGTCCAATATTGGTATGTGCAAGTTTCCTTTATCCCAGGTAGTTTCTTGGATAGTGGCACTCCATGATAAAGATGAATATGTAAAAAAGATACAGGAAAAAAAAAAAAAACTGAATTAGTAACTCTCTGTATCAATACAGTACATGAGAAGCAGTCCAAATTAATTAAAAGTAGAACTTGCTTTATTAGAGTCTCAACTCTTAGTTAAAATCAGTATATAAAAGCTTAGAAAAGTATTCCATAATATAATAATAATCAGACTTCATTAACATGTATTTGTAAGTTGATATACAAAGTGAATATTAGGTGCAGACCTTGTATTGCTCACGGCGTCCCGGATCAACAGCTTAGATGTTATTCTGCTGGATACAGTACAGGTAAGTGTCCCCTAAATGCTGGCTTTCAGTAATCAGCGATCAGTCCTTCCAAACGCGTTTCTCCGTCAGAACGGCTTTTTCAATGGATATGGACTGTCGGGCAGTTACCGCTTATATAGCAGTGTATTCCCCTCAATTTTCACATATCATTTAACATGCATATTTGATCATTTTACATACATAGTATTTGATATTGTTACATTATTATAGTCTTAACAGATATTCTTAGATTCTCATTCCTAATCTTAGATATTTTGTTGCACTTCTTATAACCACTTGTAACCATAGTTACTCCCGCTGAATATCAGTTTGAACGTAACTGTCATTTACTTAAACTCTTATTTCTTTAATATATTACGGAAGCAGAATCAATCTAAGTAATGTACATTACTATATTCCATAACACATACTGTTCATACTGATCTCGGGAGGAAATCTTATTAGAAAAATACTATCGTGCAATGGCCACAAACCTAAAAGATCTTTAGTTCATAGCTTTCTGACCCCTGAGGTATCAGAATCTAACTGACTCACGAGAACAAAAGGAACCTACAGATGTGGCCATTGCAAGGCATGCCGATTCATCACTCCTTCTCAGTCTACGACATCTACACAATCTCATATTACGATCACAACTAATGCCTTGGTAAATTGTAGTACCACTCGAGTAATATATATTTGATTACATGTAAATGTGGTATACAATATATAGGAAAGACCATTCAACCATTTCGTCGGAGGATCCTCCAACACATTAATTCTATCAAAAATACCATTAACCCTACACCGGTAGCAAGACACATCACTAATTTCCACCAGGGGAATGCTGACAATCTCAGATTTCAAGTTATAGAGAAATTACTTTCCAACCCAAGGAAAGGGAATTTCAATAAACTATTACTTCAAAAAGAGTCTAAATGGATTTACTCATTTAAGACTAACTCCACAGGGACTTAATGAGGAGTTCAATTATACCTCCTTCATACATAAGTAACTCTGACTTTACAGACAATCAATAAAGAAAAGAAAATGTCTTTCTCTAATTACTTGTTAAATTTTATGAGGACTTTCTCATAAAATCATAGCGTCATTATTGAAAAGACTTTATTCCTTATGTGTTCCTTATATAATCATGATAAGGCAATAAGTGACTCTTAGAGAAATTGAATCCGTCTTTTGATCCAGCAGCAATAATATTTATATACATTTAATCATATTTAATCACAAAGAATTAGCTGTTACAAAACTTTTTTCAATATCCATTCATTTTTTGAATTTTTGTGAATATACCTTTAATTTTTTAAAATTTTATTATTGGTATCTAATTTATTCATTTGATTCAGCAGGAATAACAATTTTGCACACATGCATTATATGATACATACATGCATCAATAATTGGTTATTATTGGAAATCAACTTGTATTATTTACACTTTTGGAATATTAACCTTTGGGAATTTTGTTTTCGAACTTAGTTTAAAACGTTTTGCAAGTAGTTGGCTTTAAGATGTTTATGTAGCATCTATATTGATCCATCTGAGGATACTATCAGTGACTAAGACATAATATTACATCCTCAATAATTTTCACATGAAACTGTGTAGATAGCAGAGAAAAATCAAATTGTATCAATGTGTATACGATGTATCTAATAACAATCACTGTAAGAAAACATTGAATGGAATCTCTCTCCCCCCTTTTTTCCTCCTCTGATGAGAGTGGTGTCTTACTTATGCTTCTCTCTCTATCGTCTTATTTGGGTAGTTATGATCTATCACGTGAATTGAATCTTTTTTCGGCTCTCTCCTTTTGATACGAGAGATGTTTATGTTCCGTCTCGACCGCCGTATATAGGCAGCCACAAAGCATTACGTCAGTTTTAGAATTCTCCAATCAGATTATGGAGCGCCATATTTAAAACCCTTGCCGACAGCCACTCAGTTCCCCTTGAAAAGCCGCCTTACCGGCGAAACGCGCGTCGGGGTTTTTTCTGGGAGATTGCTCCCCTTTCTCAAACCACCATTTATTACTTTGATATATTACTTACTGGGGTCATTTTGTACCGCTTAGCATAGAAATCAATTTTACAAAGATAGTTTATCGGGGTTTGGGGTATGCTTATTAGAGCTTTTTCCTTAAGCTAATTTAGGATTGCAGTAGCTGGAGTTGATTATGGAAACTTAGTGAGACGATCTATTTAGATAGCAATCTCTAGTATTTAGTGCAACTGCAGCTTTAGTTTTTAGCAACAAGCAGTGATTCTTTTATTTATAACACGTAGGAATAGTGCACATTATTCGTCCGGCAGACTGATCTACCTTTCGGCTAGTTAGCTTATTTAGTGGAATCTCGTAGAGGTAGGTGCCCATGAAGGCACAGTTAGCTTTTGATAAGTTTTTGATAACATCTTTTTACAACACTCATATTGGGATTTTCATTAATCATTTCTACCTCTTATGGCCAAACATTTTTCATTTTGGCTTGAATTAAAAGTAAGCAGACATTTGCATCTATTTAGCCATTTGAAAGTATCAATTTAGAACAATTTGATACACTATCTTACTGCTGATTACAAGTTGTAACAATTTGGACACTAGAACCATATAATTGATGTGTATTATTCACCTCTTTATACTCTTTCTTGGTGTATTGAGAGTTTTTATATTCACTTTTTTTTTTCACTCTTTATCGTATTTTAACTAGATTATTAAAAGTTAATTTTTATTCATATCTATTCTATGGCAGTAGCTCTTTCCTTTTTCTTTTGAAATTATATCAATTAGGGTTAACCCCTTTACTGCCTATTTTTCAATACTATCAAGCTTCCACTCCCCCTTTCTTTTTCTTAATATTTAACATATGCTCCCTTACTCTAATATAGAGTTGTCTTTTTGTCCTGCCCACGTACTGGAGTCCGCATGGGCATTCCAGTACGTAGATTACGTTTGTACTCTGACATGTAATAAAATCCCGAATTCTGAATACTTCATTATTACTCTTTGACTCTATTTGTAATTTCATATACTCCTTTCATTGAGGTGTCTTTACTGGTCTTGGAGGCAATGCACTCATTGCAGTAGAAGAAGCCTTTCTTTTTAGTTCCTATCTTTTCTTTTTTATTCGCTTTTAAGTGTTGATTTGTCAATTTACTTTTAATATTCTTGGCTCCCCGAAAAATTATCCTCGGTTTATCCGGTATAGTACTAGCCAATAATTTATCTTTTTTGAGCAAGTGCCAGTGTTTTCTTAAGATTTTTCTTAGATTTATATTTTCTTTATTATAGTCCAGAATAATAGGTGGAAACAGATTGGTTTGTTGTGATGTTCTCATAGCATTTTTATCTTTTACTTTTAGGAGGTTATTACGGTCTAAGTCCTTCACTTTCAATAGTGCATCTTCCACTTCCTTAGGATCATAGTTCTTCACCAAAAATTTATGTTTGATCTCTTCCGCCTGTTCTATGTACACTTGTTGATCTGTACAGTTACCTCTTACTCTTCTAAATTCATTATATGGTACATTCTTTAACCATGCTGGAAAATGGCAACTCTCTTTCAAAATAAAGCTATTGACTTTAACTTCTTTAAAGTGTGTCTTTGTTCTTATAGTGCCTGAATCAATATAGATGGTAAGGTCCAGAAAATCTACAGCCGTAGTACTATGGACTGTGTTGAGTATTACTCCCCAACTATTGTTGTAGGTATATTCAAGGAACTTGTGTAGTTCTCCCGTATTCCCTTCCCATATAAAGAAGATATAATCTATGTATCTTTTATAGCTGTGAATGTTCTTGTTCCATGGATGGGTGTTCCAGATGTAATTCTGTTCCCATTCACCCATGAAAATGTTGGCAAAACTGGGAGCAAATTTGGTCCCCATTGCATTCCCTCTTTTCTGAAGATAAAATTGACCTTCAAACAGAAAATAATTGTTCTTAAGGATAAATTAAATACCCTCAATGATGAACGCAATTTGAGACTCTTCCAGATCTCCAATCTTCCTCAGTGTGTTCTTTACTGAGTTGCACCCTAATTCATGCTCAATTATAATATAAAATGATGTCACATCCATAGATACCAGAATAAAATTATCCCTCCATGTTATGGAAGCCAATTCACGAATCATTTGTGTTGTATCTTTTAAATGTGATTTTACTCTGAATACATACAGTTGTAAAAAATAGTCAATATATTGAGACAGGTTAGAGGTGATGGAATTAATGCCAGAAATGATAGGTCTGCCTGGTGGTGCTCTCAGATTCTTATGAATTTTCGTCAGAAAATAGAATGTCAGTGTTCTAGGGAATTTTATGTCTAGGAATCTATATTCTGACTCCTTTAAAATTCTTGTTTCTTTGGCTCTCACAAGCATGTCCTTCAATGTTATTTGTATTTTCTCCAATGGATCCTCAGATAGCTTCTCATAAGTTTCCCCATCTCCCAACAGTCTATCTGCTTCATTCAGGTAATATTCTTTCGTCATAATCACAATTCCTCCACCCTTGTCAGCCGGTTTAATACATATTTCCATATTATTCGATAGATTTTCCAACGCTTCCGTTTCTTTCTTGGTGAGATTGTTTCTTTGATAATTATTTCTCTTCATTTTTCTTATATCTTCTGTAACAAGTTCCTCGAACATCTCCATCCCAGCTGAGACTTGATTGTAGGGATAAAAAAACCGAAGTAGGTTTAAGTTGACTGTGTTGGAAAGCATCTATGGGTTCTTCTTTTCTGGGTATATCTTGGGTTTGCATGAAATGTTTCTTAATGCTAACTTTTCTAATAAACCTTTTTATATCAATAGTGGTATTAAATGTGTCCACATGTACTGTTGGGGCGAATTTCAGACCTTTATTTAGAGCCATAATGTGTGAGGGTGATAATACAATTCCTGCATGGTTAAAGATACCTATTGGCTGTTCTTCTTGTTTCTTTTTCTGTTTGTTTCTTCTACCTCCTCTCTCTCTTCTAGGCTTGAATCCTTTCGTTTTCTCTGTTTTGGTGTTACTGGTGAACCATGATGTGATTTCTCTTGTGTTCTTGCCTAAAAAAACCTCCTCTCTTGAGGGATTGTGAATCTCTGCTTGAATCGTCATAGTATTACTTGTTTTAGATGCAATATTGTTATCTTCTTGTCTTCTTATCTCAGGTATTCTTTCTTTGACCGTATTTTCTTGTCTCGATCCTTTCCTTCTTTCTTTATTTGAATTGATCGTCTTCTCATGTGTCCACCCCCTTGTCTTGCCCGATGCTATACGGCTTCCATTTTCTTTATTCTGTCTATCTGGTCTCTCCATTCCTCTATAGCAGTGGTTCTCAACCTGGGGGTCGAATGACCCTTTCACAGGGGTCGCCTAACAGGGCTGGACAGAGGCCTTTCCCGGTCAAAATTTTTCCCCTTTCTCGCCGCCGGGCATCCGCGGTATATTACTGATGATGCTGTCCCCTCCGCTCCGCCTTCTGACCTGATGCCGATTGCGTCATGACGCAACGTGACCCCCTGCATTCCCCCGCCCGCGGTACCAAGAAGAAGAAGAAGAGAAGAGAAGAGGAAGAAAGAAGACTAAGCGAGCAGAGCACATGAGAGAAAAAGGTAAGCAGAACAGAGATAAGGGGAGATAAGGGGAGAAGAGCAGAGGAAATGGGAAGGTTGAGCAAAGAAAAGGGATATTAGAGCAGCAGATAAGAGGAAGGAGAGCAAATAAAATGGGAAGAGACAACAAAATGGGACGGAGAGCAAAAAAAGGGGAAGAGGAGCAGGGAGAGCAAAGAAAATGGAAGGATAGCAGAAGGAGAGCAAAGAAAAGGGGAAGGAGAGCAAAGAAAAGGGAAATAAGAGCAGAGAAAAGTGAAGGAGAGCAAAGAAAAGAGGAAGAGTAGCAGATAAAATGGGAAGGAAAGCAAAGAAAATGGGAAGGAGAACAAAAAAAAGAGGAAGAAAATGGAAGGACAGGGGAAGGAGAGCAAAGAAAAGGGGAATAAGAGCAGAGAAAGGGGAAGGAGAGCAGATAAGGCAAGGAGAGCAATAAAAAGGGGAAAAGAAGCAGAGAAAAGGGGAAGGAGAGCAAAGAAAAGAGGAAGATAGTAGAGAAAAGGGAAGGAGAGCAAAAAAAAAGGGGAAGAGTAGCAGATAAAATGGGAAGGAAAGCAAAGAAAATGGGAAGGAGAGCAAAGAAAATGGGAAGGAGAGCAAAGAAAGTAGAAGGACAGCAGAAGGAGACCAAAGAAAAGGGGAAGGAGAGCAACGAAAAGGGGAATAAGAGCAGAGAAAAGGGAAGGAGAGCAGATAAGGGAAGGAGAGCAATAAAAAGGGGAAGAGTAGCAGATAAAATGGGAAGGAAAGCAAAGAAAATGGTAAGGAGAGCAAAAAAAAAAAAAGAGCAAGGAGAGCAGAGAAAAAAGGGAAAGAGAGCAGTACCCCCAATTTTTCCACAGTAAAATGGTGGTATAGTATTAAGTACAATATTACATAACAATATTAATTAATATTATTAATATAATAATTATATTAATGTAATAATATATTTTATATTATATTATTATATCATATATTATATAAATAATAAATGTTAATATATTAATATTAACAATAATATATGTAATATAGTATGATTACACAGTATAGTGTGACTATAGTATTATCGTATTTAAAGAAACTATATATATTTTTTTATTATTATTTTGCAGGAAGAAGCCTGTAAAGGGCGAAGGCAGCTGTCATGAGACCGTAGACAAGTGAGCCGTCTCTCAGTCTCCGTTTCAATTTGCTCGGGTCTGCATGGACACTGGACTAGCTGGATACCAAATCGTGTGGTCCCTCTCATTTCATATCTCTCGGGTAAGAAAGGTTTTGTTTTTATGCGTAAGAAAATTAGCTGTATAGGTGCAGATCAGAAGATGAGTAGTTCTGTAATATAAAACTACTCTAACCTCCTCATCTGATGTATTCTATGTTTACTATTTTGGTGAACATGTGTGGATGTAATGGTTTTATGTGGGTATCCAACTCTATATGACTAGTTACTCACACAGAACCATAACGTTGTTCTGAGCCTACAATTGGTGCCCCTGTCAAAGGGCGAAACCAAAGTGCAAAATGAGAGAGATGTATGTATGTACATATATTATGATAGATATATCTTTGTGTGGTTTCTATATTTTTAGTATCTTGTGTTACATCTAGTGCCCCTTGATTCCGCTTGTGAAGCTAGGATACATGCTGTTTGTTGCATAAACCCTGGATTGGCAAGTGGAATCAAGGGACCCTATAAGCATCCTTTAATGAGGATTATATCGCTCACGTGCCTACAAGTGGAGCTCTTGATAGCTCCACCCATTTGTAAGGGCATTTGCTTTTTTTTTCTCACATTAAAGAAATACTACACTATATTTTTCATCTTTTTACTCCATGTACCACCTGTAAATGTTGTGAAGCGCTACTTCCACTTTCCTACACAAATATGATTTTATTTATTTCAAAATTCACCTGTTTTTTCTTCCTTATGCTTTCCACACCCACTCCAGGGGCACACTGTACTAACAAATTAGTGTCCTATCCCCAGGAATTCTGCACAATTGCATTGGGCATGCCTGACTTATTTACACATGTGCAGTTGTAAGATCTTTTCACCTGGCAACATCCTGACGGGTGGGAGAAGATAGGGAGTCTGAACAGTGTGATTCATGCAGAGCAGGCTCCTTTGTCACATTTCTCTTTCCTGCTGTTGCACAATGATGCCCTGTTTCTTTCATTAGTGTACTGGTCTAAGATGGGTGTGGAAAAGGGGGAGGGGCACATAAAAATGCATTCTGACTTAGTTTATTTTATGTTTATAAACGCTTAATTCATACCTCTGAAAGTTTCTCTCTCAGAGAAATAGCAGTGTTTACATTCCAACCGAGGAGCACCTCTAGTGGCCACTCCTTAGACTGCCAGTACAGGTGCTTTCTAGGTCAGTGCTGCACAGTGTGCTTCACTGACATCCAGCAACTGCACGCTCTATTAGGAGATGCTGATTAACCATGGCAGCCGTCCCTGACTTGACTCCTTGGCTGACATCAGAATTGAAGTTTTAAGCCAATCCAATGCTTTCCTATAGGTGATTGACTGAGATCATCAAAAAAAATATTTCCGATGGTCTTAGAAACTGAGACACCGCTCCTCTATCCATGTCCAGGCGGGTCCGCCCACATGCAGAAATGCCCACATACGAGTACCCAGCGTGATAAGAAAAAAAAATGCCGTACCATGGGAACTTAATCTGGTTGCTAATTGGTCTTTTTATATTCAGCTGTGGTTGATGTGAATACTGCCCCCTTGTGATAGTAACAGTTATGTAAAAAAAAACACAGAGTAGTAAATCATAGGAAACTTTAATGAACTGCATTGACTGAACTATGCCATGTATCATCTTTTTTATTATTGAAGTTATTGTTATATATTATTTTCATTAGCAAACCATCCAATGACAATGGATCATGTAGAGAAGAACGTTAAGAAAAGAAAATATAGTGAGGATTTTTTACAGTATGGTTTTACCTCAATAATTACAGCAGGAATTGAGAAACCACAATGTGTTATTTGTTGTGAAGTTCTATCAGCCGAATGTATGAAGCCGAACAAACTAAAACGCCATTTTGATAGCAAGCATCCAAGCTTTGCTGGCAAGGATGCCAACTATTTTAGAAGCAAAGCTGATGGACTCAAGAAAGCCAGACTTGATACTGGTGGAAAGTACCACAAACAAAACGTAGCAGCCGTTGAAACTTCATATTTGGTGGCACTCAGAATCGCCAGAGCTATGAAACCTCACACCATTGCTGAGGATTTACTGTTGCCAGCGGCCAAAGACATCGTTCGAGTTATGATTGGAGACAAATTTGTTCCGAAATTGGGTGCAATTTCCTTATCTAACGACACTGTCCGCAGAAGAATAGATGACATGTCGGCTGATATTCTTGATCAGGTAATCCAGGAAATTAAATCTGCTCCACTTCCAATATTTAGTATCCAGCTTGATGAATCTACAGACGTTGCAAACTGTTCACAGTTACTGGTTTACGTGAGGTATATTAATGATGGCGACTTTAAAGATGAGTTTCTTTTTTGCAAACCTCTTGAAACGACAACTACTGCACGCGATGTATTTGATAAAGTTAGTTAGTTTCTGAAAGAGCATAAAATCTCTTGGGAAAAGGTTTGTGGTGTTTGCACAGATGGTGCTCCAGCTATGCTAGGATGTCGATCTGGATTCCAACGTTTGGTACTGAAAAAGTCCCCAAAAGTCATCGGAACTCACTGTATGATTCATCGGCAAATATTAGCAACAAAGACACTGCCACAAGAGTTACAAGAAGTAATGAAAAGCATCATAAGTTCTGTCAATTTTGTAAAGGCGAGCACTTTAAACAGTCGACTGTTTTCGCAACTGTGCATCGAGTTGGATGCGCCGAACAATGCTCTGCTATTTCACACTGAAGTGAGATGGTTGTCGAGAGGAAAAGTTTTAAAACGTGTTTTTGAGCTTCGTGATGAACTCAAAACGTTTTTTTAATCAGAAAGCAAAACCGCAGTTCGAAGCACTTTTCAGGGATAAAAGTGAACTGCAGAAAATAGCTTACTTGGTTGACATCTTTGCCATCTTGAATGAGTTAAAGTTATCACTGCAAGGACCAAATGCAACATGCCTCGATTTGTCTGAAAAGATCCGATCATTCCAAATGAAACTTCAGCTTTGGCACAAAAAATTGGATGAAAATAAAATTTACATGTTGCCTACCTTATCTGCTTTCTTTGAGGAACATGACATTGAACCAGACAAAAGGATTACGATGATAATGTCTGTGAAAGAATACTTGCACATGCTTGCAGACGAAATTTCATCGTACTTTCCAAATCTACCTGACACCCCATTTGCACTTGCCAGAAGCCCATTCACAGTCAAAGTTGAAGATGTTCCTGATACAGCACAAGAGGAGTTCATCGAGCTTATTAACAGCGATGCAGCGAGAACAGAGTTCTTTACAATGCCAGTTACAAAATTCTGGATCAAGTGTTTGCAGTCATATCCTGTTCTGTTTGAGACTGTGTTGCGCCTTCTTCTTCCATTTCCAACAACATATCTTTGTGAAACAGGGTTTTCCAGCTTGTTAGTTATCACGTCTAAATACAGAAGTAGACTTTTTGTGGAAGATGATCTTCGTTGTGCTCTTGCAAAGACTGCTCCGAGAATTTCTGATCTGGTGAAAAAGAAGCAATCTCAACCTTCGCACTGACGTTGGCTTTTTACGCATACTGTCGCAAAATGTAGCTTACTGTTGTTATATTATGACTTTTATTTGTAACTAGAAATATTTCACAATATATACATATTGTTTTTGTGATTAATCACTATACTTTATGTTCAAAACAATGAAAATACATCCTGCATATCAGATATTTACATTACGATTCATAACAGTAGCAAAATTACAGTTATGAAGTAGCAACGAAAATAATTTTATGGTTGGGGGTCACCACAACATGAGGAACTGCATTAAAGGGTCGCGGCATTAGGAAGGTTGAGAACCGCTGCTCTATAGTCTGTAGATTGTGTCGTTCTTCTTACTGATTGATGATCTTTCGTATTCATGTTAGAATTCCTCCATTTCTCATTCATTCTTCTATCTCTGTTCAATGGTATCAAATTAGGATTTCTCTATGTTGTTCTTGTAATAGTCTACTGTGACTAGGATTACGGTTACTTGCTTGTTTCCAATTCCATTGACCGGTTTGATGTTTATTCTTAGATTGATCATATATGTCTTTTTCTTTCTGGTAATTAGTGTGGTTGTATTGCATATTATATTTCTTATGGAAGTTTCTCACTATCATTTTTATAGTCTTTCATATCCCGTGAGACCTTCTTAATTTTCTTGATATCTTCTTCTAGTCTATCAACACTGCCTGATATCTTCATGATCTTTTCTTGTGAATCTTCATCTTCCAATAGTGGTTCCAAAATGCGCTGAATTTCCTTAATCTCATGGTCTAATTCTGTGAGCTGTCTCTTCCTACATTCTATAATGATGTCTATAAAGACAAAAGAGCAGTCTTCCATTGCCTCGTACCATCTCTCCTTTAACTCAAAATCTTCTATTGAAAATGCAGGCTCTTTAAATAGTCTCAGCCCTTTTGGGATAATATTGTCAATAATATACTGTTGTAATGTAGCTATCTCCCATTTAATTTTCAGTTCTTGTTTTAATAATCTTTCTAACTTTAGAAAGAGAAAGTTCTTATTATATTTAGCTGTATAATCTCTAAGGATGTCTGTTCCAAAGCATTTAGTTGCATTAGTAGCTACTCTTTGTCTTAATGCATTGATATCCATACTTCTATATTAAGAATACGAAGAAAAACCCCAGTTGAGTCTATAATTATGAAAGGGAGAAATATAAATAATAAACTATTAAGAAAAAACCTTATTATGACCAATCCTCTCACGTAGTAGTTATAGTACAGCTGCTCAACACTAGTTAGGTTTAATAAAACTGTTATACAAAAATGCGTAGAAAGTGGAGCGCTGAATAAATGTCAGGATTAGAAAAGGGTATATAAAATAGACCTAACAACCTATTGAAATATATAACAGACAATAAAAAATATAGGTTATAACCTTAACCTCTACCCTTAACCTCTAACTGCATTATATAAGATCTGCTATTGACTCTAATTGTAGTTGTGGTATATTACTATTTGACTATCTAGTAGAGATAGGTTCATTTATATTACTGCAACATTGGAGACTGCAGTTAGAGGTTAAGGGTATAACCTATATTTTTTATCATCTTCTACAATACATGTCCCTTTGCTTTTTAAGGATATGTAGTCAGGCTTGTTATATATTTACCCATTTCCTTGTACGGGGTAAACTGCAATAGATTTTGTCTGTTCCTTTTAAGGATTTATTTAACATCAGATTACATATGCTTTTTTTTAATATATATTATAGCCCAGGTAAAAAGTAATGGGCAGAAAACTTTTACACAAAGTTATTATATGTGAAAATAGACATATTTCTTGTTATGGTGTAACTTATCAAATATTAATATAACAATCCTTGGTTCTACAATAAATTGTTTTAGAATATAAAAAGATGGAAAAATCTAAAAAACATACAGCTTTCAGAAATGCTTATCTCAACCTATTGTTTAAAAAAAATCTCAATAAACAGCCAGGGCCAGAAATGTCATTTTCTTATTGTCAACCACCTCAGGCATCCAGTGGATCCTCCCACTTTGTTCTAATAAAAGGAGCAGACCATGTGAAAGGAAACTCATAACAGAGGAACCTGAACAATCTATAGATAATCTTTACTCTGTAAGGACAAGATGGAGAAAGCCAACATCAGTGAGGAATACAGAGGATGTGACGGTGACTGTTCTCACTCTGAGCTTGAGGATTTATACAATACTGATATTGTCCAAGAGGAAAATGCAACACAACACTATGAAGGATACTTCAGAGGTATTATACATTCATCAATAATTCACTAATAGGAATGTCTGTTATGATATATGTAATAAAGGTGGAAATACTAATTTGATGATAGGTTGTTTTTTTTCCGTGTTCAGGGCCTAGAAAGCCATAATGATATTATGTAACTTATATAACATATCTTATAATAACATTGAAAAATGTGAACAGTGAATTGTGGTGTGCCGAAACTGACGATGCGGTAGGCCTGTAATAAAGAGGGCTCACCCTAGGTATTGTTAAGGGGAGTAGTGGGAGGGATAAATCGCCAGAGCATCAATAGTAATGAGGAGGGGTCTGGCGGTCGTTAAATAGGGAAATCAAGCCCCTCCCACAACTACAGGCCCAGCCTTCCATTTGTGTTCAGGGCATAGAAAGCCATAATGACATAATGTAACTTATACCTTGTGATAACATGGAAAAACGTGAACAGTCGGTTGTGGTGTGCCGAAACAGACGATGCGGTAGGCCTGTAATAAAGAGGGCAAAAAGAGTATACTATGCAAGATTTATTCAACCTACAAGGACAGTCATAAGATACATCACATATTCAGGTTACAAAATGCTTCACGTATTTCCTGTGTTGGATCAGGTATGTATCTGGTTTATGCTGATGAATTCCATCGGCCCAATGTTTTGATAATACGTACTGGTATGTTTCTGCTGGAAGCAGTGGTGGCTGCTCCAATGCGGAAGGAGTGTCCCGAGTAGTGGCATGGATTAAGACCTAACTTAGTCAGCAATACGCTTATATAAAGCATGAATTTACTGGTAGTGAGAACCTTGCCGTGTAATGTGAGTTGGTTTGGAGACCCTGGAATGGTGGTTAGGAATGTATCTAGGACTTGCACCGGACACCATTTGTTGCCGATAGGGTGTAGTTACTAGCTGGTCCTTTGGTGTGGTTTTGGTGTGTTTGAGGGACAATATGTAGTCCTGTATTTTAACAATTTGGGATCTCTTAAGGCCGTCTTGGGAAGTGATATTCGTGGTGGTAAACTCTCTGGTTCTGAGGAACCCATAGAAAGCCAAGTAGATAGTGGTTTTAATGACATGATTAGTGTGTGCCTCAAAGATGGGTTGTATCCATGAGGTCTGATAATGATTTGAAGAGCTGACTATGGAGAGGTGATCTAGAAGATGGTGGCATGAGTTTTGATGTTAATGCCTTTAAGTATGGTTTTGATTTGGTAAGAAGATAGAAAACTGTGTTTGGCCAAAGTGTGAGTATGTGGTGTTGTATCCCTGTCAGATATAATTTGATAGTGTTGTATGATAATTTTAATTTAAGGTAGCAAAAAGAAGTGAAGGCTACAATAGTTTTCATAAAGTGTTTGTTTATAACTTGAAAGTCCAACAAGAATTTGTTATACACCTGAAAAGCCCTGTCATATGACTTCCTAGTGTTGACGGACAAAGCTAGTTGCAAAAGGAGTCTGCCATGCGTTAACATCTCCGAATCCAATCTCGTATCCTGCCATGACGAAGCCAGGGTAGCCACCTGGGCTGCTGTTGGTAATGTATTGTGGAATTCCTGAAACAGAGTGAGACAAGTGATCAGCCGCTACGTTCTGAATGCCAGGAATATGCACACATACCAGGAGGAAATTATGGTTGGCTGCCAGCCAAGTCAATTTCCTCAGAATTGGAACGACCTTTGTTAATTATATGGCAGGTTGCCAAATTATCCGAATGACACCTCACCACTTGACCTGACCAGGCTTTTCCATTATATGCCTCCCTAGGCCAAGCCCCCCTTAGCCAGTGATCACCAAAAATAGCTGCAAAGCCTGAGGTGGCTGCCGCATCCGTGAAAATTGTGAGGCAGTCAGGGGTAAGTAAAGTGATAAACCTCCTTCTCCCATTCCATCTTCTGAGAAATACCTGCCAAACGCGTAAATCCGCTGTAGTGCGTCCATCTAGTGTAATGCGTGAACTGTCTGAAACCGGGGAAACAGATTGAGCAGTTTTGATATAAAAGCCCTACCCTGTAATTATCATGGCAAAGTTGAGGGAGCCTAATAAGGACTAGATTTCTGTGTGATTACAGGATTCAGTAGAGAGATACAAGTTGATGTTTGATAGGTGCGCTCAATCTTGTCTCTAGGCAAACTGGCCAGCATGTTGACCGAATCTAGTGTGATACCAAGAAAATTAATCAATGAGTCGGGTCCTTCTGTCTTTTTAGGGGAGACGGGAACCCCCAAAGATTGAAATAGCTAGGTAGTTGTTTTTAGGCTATTGGGTGGGAATAGGTTACTCTCAATACTCAAAAAGTCATCCAAATAGTGAATAACTGTGGGGCATCTACAGACATTGGGGTAGTAGCCAGCATAACGTCTCGGCGAAGGTATAAAAATCCTAGGGTTACTTTTTGCAACAAAAGTGAGACGAGTAAAAAAGTAATAGGAACCTTGCCACTCTGAAGGCGTTAATGATGTCTGTTTTACTAAGCCATGCTCCCTTCCCTTCTGTTATAATAGCGTCAATGGCGTTATCGATATTAGCGTACTGCAGGGAAATTCTTCTGAAGGAATGAGTGAGTTCAAACTAGGTGTTGTGGAAGAGTGGGGAGCAGAGAGGTCGATAATCAACCTTGCTTAGCTGAATGTTTCCCCAATGGCGTTAGTTCTCCAAGCTGTGAAAGGTGGGGAACTAAACGGCCCAAGTAGAAAACCTTGATCTAATTCCATCTCTAACAGATTATTTACAGATGTTGTATTGGTGAAGGCGGATAGTAGGTTCTTACATTTTACGATGCCGAAAGGCATGTAAATTATTCACGTATAGAAACCTTCCGCGAATCCAAACACCAAAAACTCAACCAAATTGGGTGAGGGGTGGTTCTGCAATAATTTGGCGAAATAAGTCACATTGATTGAGGCCATGTAGGGTTTCGGGAAATATATTAGGACACATTGTTTTTGCATGTGCCCTGAAACAAAGAATAAACATGTAGTAACCGGCATGTATAAAAGAAGACGGTGGTTGCGCACACAATGAATGATATCCTTGGTTAAATGCAGAAAATCAGGAACCAGGATCACCAGATGAATAAAAGGTTCTGGTGATCCTGGTTCCTGATTTTCTGCATAAAGAAGACTGCTTGATGTCTTTCTAAGGGACCTATATTGCATAATCTACACCAGGCTGACAAATCTGCTTAAAACGTTTAGAGCCAACTCAGAAAGGCTCTAAATATTGTGAGTTTTTCCAAGTATTCCTTATATTTTATTTCATTTTAAGACATATTGCCCTATGATGGTTTTTTATGTTTACAGAACCTAGGGACTCCATTTTAACCAAGGATATCATTCATTGTGTGCGCAACCACCGTCTTCTTTTATTTTATCTTTGTATGTAAGTGTTATACAGTGACTATACACGTGGGTGGTTAATTGTGTGTGCTGCACTGGTTTTTTATATATGATATTCTACATTTTATTATTTATAGCGCCATCTTTTATCTCTTTTCTTTTCACGAGTAACCGGCATGTGCTTGTAACATCATGCCTTGTTCTGCGGATCAGTCTGGTGATTGCTTCTGGTATCCAGTACTCTTTTTACAATTCTTGTTTAGTTTTTCTTGGTTTTCTATTCTATGTCTGGTTTTCTTTATGCTGGGTTTCTGGGTTCATTCTTATATTCCGTCCCTGGATTTCCCAGTCTCTTGGATTCATTTAAAGCGGCACTGTCATGCCGAACTTACCTTTCCTCAATCTCTTCCTCTTCTCCCCCTCTCTCAGGATCTGTTATTCTTTTCTTCCTATCTTCTTTAGTTTTCTTTAAAATCATAAGACAAAGTAGGGACTCTTTGCCTTATGGAGGATTCCTCCGCTTGACCAGCTCTGACCAGCGGAGGAGCAAAGTGTGCTTCATTTCCGCTGGTCAGAGCAATTTTCCCATGATCCCTAGCTTTCCTCTGTGTTCCCACAATGCTTCCTGTCACTTTCCACAAAACTGCCGAATTGCGTTCTAACTGAATGACAACAGTATGTTCGTTTCTTTTAGAACGCAATTCGGCACTTTATTCGGATCGGAATTTCATTCTAATGAATGAAACTCTGATCCTATTCATTGCTGTGGCTGCATTTTGCAGCCGCTTAGTAGATAACTCCCTAATTCCCACGGTATCAGGGAGCTATCTACTAAAAGGCTGAAAGACCTAAATTGGTCTTTCAGCCACATTTACTAATACTAAGTAAAGATTACTTAGTATTAGTAAATAATATGCCCCTACTCGCTATACCGCGAGTAGGGGCATGTCTGGTAAACAGTGAGCAGCCTGTGGCTGCTCACTGTAAAAAAAACTATTGGCCCCCACCCCTAAACCACGGGTG